TTTACAGGCTTGTTCTGCTTTGTATAGAAATAATCGTTAAATGTAGGTGATGGATATGTCATATCACACCGAAGAATCAGTTTTCAGTGGTAAATAACGGGCAATTAAATGCTTGAGGGCATACTAGCTTTTTGATCAATAATCTGTTTAAGCTTTAAGGTAGGTAAACTGGTTTAAAAAGCATGAGTTATTCCAAATAAGCATATCAAAATTTTGTAACATAAATTGTGAAAGGTAAATTTGTTTATTCTAGTTGACAGCATCTGAATCAGTGACACCTAAATCGCCTGCTCAACGTATTTTGTTTTATCATATTTGACTCATTCGTCTACATTAAAACAGTTTTTTGTCAATATACATTTAAGCTTTAATTCCTCTAAGAGTAGTTTCATCGATTGGGTTATTCAACCACATTTAAGCATTCACTATAGTTGGAAATGCCAAAAATTCATTTTATCATATAAATTTAGATTATTTTTGTTTTTTTACTCAAAATTGAAACATCAATTCCCACTTGTAATAGCGATATAATTAATAATAAAGAGTAAGCAAGATATTTATTACATTCATAATAGTTGACAATTCATTGTCCCATTAACACACACAGAGAAATTCACAGTTACCTCTTTTGTACGTATGATTTCTGTTTGCGAAACAGCATATCGAAAGCAAAACAGACTTGCAAAATAGAGCACTGAAGAGTTGACCTATCAAAGACGAGTTGAAACTGGACAACCGACTGGTTATTTGATCGAATAATCATAAATAAATAAAAATCAAAAATAATAATAATAATAACAAATTTTTGTAAACAGATTGACGATTAACTAATAGTTTATTTATGCTGTTAGATTATTTTTCCTTTCGAGTTTACCAATACGAACAGATAAACAAGCAAGCCATCTCATTGAACAGTAAACAAAAAGGAACGTTCAAAATATGACATATGTAAGGAGAAAAGAACAAATAAACAAATTCACTGTCGAGAAAATAAATACTGAATGAGAAATGAATAATCAGTCAAATAAGGCAAGGAAGCATGCAAAAAATGTATACTAACAAAGTGGAGAAATAACAACAACGAAAACGGAAGCAACAAAAGAGAATCTGGTAGAAATTAATGTGAAATTTGTTTACACAAATAGGAATGTTCAAGTTAATGTTAATTTGTCAAGATTAGAACAGAGAAATGATTCGACACCGAGAATTCGTTAAACGATTAAATTGCGTGTTAACAATTATTATTAATAATGAGAATAATTCAAATTGTCTTTGCTTAATTCGCATGAAATTTCAATAAAGTTGAACTTATATTAAAATACTTGGAAATTTATAACTTGATAGATTGTCACTATACATGAGAGATTCCAATAGGAAATTTTGCGCAAAATTAATTTACAGAGAACGAAAATACACTTAAAAACAGCTTCAAATGAAGTTTTGCAAACATTATGCAATCGCTGACTTAGTTCTATTTATCGGCAACATGACCGTCGACAATAATGAAATCAAATGTTATGTTCGAGAATTCACTTGTCTTATAGTTTTAGTAATGTTTCGAGTAGACTGAAAGACATTCATTTGTTTTAGTTATTAGTATGTATCACCTCCATAATTTTATCAGAATGGTATATTAGATATGTCATCCGCGAAACATTGTCGATAATCATAGTCATCATTTGTCCTCCATTTTCACATACCAGCTTATCCACATTATTACACAGAAAGCTGAGGGAAATTTTCTTCATTATACCAACATTGTAGTTTGGATTTGTTACAATATTTAAGAAAAAACTGCCCTAAATTCTTGGAGAAAAAAACCATACGAAAAAATATTTCTTCGCCTAATTACAATTTATTCATGATGAAAGACCAAATGGTCAGAATACCAAACACAGAGGTCGTTGATGAACTTAGCAAGCAATTAATCGTCCTAAAGAGAAATTCACCTAATGTACAACGTCAACGTCAGTCAGCCACAACGTACGTAACCATTCCAAGTTGCTATACCACATTAACACAGAGAGATCGAATTGTTAATTCAAGTCCCATACTAGTATAGGTAGTAGAAAAATTAACGGTAATAAAGAAAAATAGGGTTCGAAAATATTATCCAAGAAGTTTGATTCAGTGAAATGAATCTCAAAAAAGAAAAAAAACCGGCCATGAGAAATTCAGAAGACTAGAACGTGAGAAAACAGAGAATGGGTGCATTTGAACCACCACAAACGATTTCGAACCATTTCAATCAATGTCTCATAGCATCGGTTACGTCTCGCACACCCTAGCCAGGTAGTCTACGTCTAGTAATATGACTCAGTCCGGTTTTCATTGACTTCAAGAAATTGCGCCACGTTTTGGTTTGGCTGTCCCTAGCTATCTTCCATCCTACCACTAGATCACAAAAGACCGCTCGTCAAGAAAGTCGCTGGTTGGGGTTTCGTAATACATGTCCCAAACACCACGACTGATGGAGACTATCATCATTACCTAGTTGTCTTTTCCTAAAAACAGCATTACTTAGCCGGGAATCCAGGATACGAGCAATACTTTTAAGACACCTACGATAAAATATTAGCACTGTACGAATATCCTAGTGTAACGGAGTTAAGATCAAAATGTATGATTTCGCTAACCTGTTCTGTTTTCTTTCTATTGCAGGGCGATCAAACATAAACGCTTTGGAAGCCAAAGAACAAAGCCTGCGTGCACTGAACTTTCAGGAGGACTAATAAGACTTTAGTAAACAAGCAATCCCTTTTATGTACAAAACCCGCGTTATTTGATTTTAAAATAAAGAGTGCCGTGGCTATCACTTCATGTTCTCTCTTGGTGTGAAGTGCTCCGCTAACCTTGTGTTGTAATTTTAGACCATATCCGTCCTTCAGTGACTGCTGATTACGTGTTACAAATTGTGATGTAGGCGGGATGATGAGGAACTATAATCTTTTTATGTAATATATCATTTACCATCGATTCTAGTTGTGATCGGTAGTGTACGGGTACTCTGCTAGGCGGCTGCGGTCATGATTCAATCTAATATTGTAGGACGTAGAGAACGGCTGAAAAGCGAACTCGTTTGGTTGGTAGACAGATATTTTGTATATGTTACAAGTGAGAGTAGTTGAAAAAAACCAATCGGAGAGCTTGTATACATGCGAATTTTTCAGACACCAGGCCAACAGCACATACGAGACTCACTAGATAAGTGAAGCAGTCAACACGCACAACTGCTTCAGTCCAAATCAATAGATCAGGTACCAATGCAAGCCAATCATGAAGCAACATTTTTAATTTCGAGGGGTGAATCAGCATCCCGAACATTGTTACTTAACGTGGTCAGAAGAATCTGCATTTTTTCAGTCTCCACCAAAAAGAACTATGTCATCAACATCCAGATAAACAGACAAATCTTCTGGAAGAAGGTCAACTCCTAGAAAGTCAGACGATCTCTAAAAGCGTGTTAATGACAAAGTCAAACGAAAATCAGGAAAATGGACAACCCTGACAAACATCACCCCAGATTAGTTCCCATGATAGTTACCCATAAGCTCTGACTCTCAACCAGTAGTGTTCGGGTAGAGTTTGTATAAGGTTAACGTTTTTCTTTGATTTTCCTTCCAATGACAGACACAACCACAGAACCTCAAAATCGACAGAGTCAAACGCCGCCTCAAGGTCAATGGATACAACTATTGTCGGACAAAGTGTGAACATCTGGTCGATACAGCCACATCCAAGTCTGAACCGACCCTGAGTTTCCGGATCTCTAACTAGGCGTCGAAGTACTATTGAAGCTTATATGTCAGACACTACATTAGTTAAAATGATTTCTCTGTGATTGTCACAATAGGACTCCTGTCCTTTCTCATAGACTGGGGCAATCAGCGATTGAGACCAGTGATATGAGATCATACCTAGTTACCAGATTCTAGACAAGATCTCAGTCAAACTAACTGCTGTAATCTGATCACCATCCTTAACAAATCCATGGGTTAGATTATCAGAGCCTGCTGCTCTCCATGGCTTAAGGTTACCTGTGGTCTTTTCAACTGGATATCGTGGGTGACCGGAGAGTGTACGAATGCGATTTGAACTGCTCCCTAAAGTGTTCTGCCCATCGATCCAATTTCATGGATTGAGAATGAATATAGACCTATCTTTCTCCGAGAGTCTCACTAACATCTTATGCTTATTTACGCAGTTCAATAAAACGTTAGAAAAATTTCAGGAAATTGAAGCTATACTAAAGAACTAATACTAACTACTAAACAAGCTTTTTAGTTACAGATATCGTAGATGAATTTCGAAAAATAATTATTACAGTAAAAGAAGACTTGTTACAGAGCAACCATTAATGAAACGTCTTCAGCATGTACACGGAAATACATTATATATATATATATATATATATATATATATATATATATATAGTTAGGAAAATCGTATTATTACCAAGATACATGAGAACTAACTCAAGGAAAATGATTCTTTTCAGAAGTGTAATTAGGGAAAAATTTGTGGAAACTGTCATGACAAGAAGACGAAAAGCAAGCGATGAGTAGTATGCATACTTACAATTGAAATAAAAAGAGAAAGACGGAAGTCGAAGTAGACATTACTTGCAACATACAGACTGATGGACTTTAACGACGAGAATAAAGATTGATTGTTAAGCATCATCCGAAGTGGACATCCTTTTCTCGAATGGTTACATTACGCTTTAGTAGCCCTAACTGTTTAGGAATCTCATATCGGTGTATATAGAGACAATCAAGGTTTGGTTGGTGTATAAAAAAGCAATTATCATGGAGGAAAGTTTGTTTTGAATGCACTATAACATTAAAATTTTAGCAAACAGCAAAACTAGAAGGTATTTGAAAATCAAAGCTGATAAACAGGATGTACTAACTAAGTAACACTTAAATAACATTTCCACCAACAAATTAAAAAAATTAGAATAAAAAAAGGAAAAGAAGACATTGATTTAGAGAGAATCACTATTTGTGAGAATCTGATTTTCGTTTACGCACAGATGATGTACTATCATCATCACCATCGGAAGTGACCTGATTAGGATCCGATAAAGCAGTTGTTTCGCTATTGGGGTCTGATTGAGCCGGTTCACTCTTAATATGAGCGTCCAACATCTCCTTGCTAACTCCAAATTCATTAATACGATTGGGATCCATTGGATATATCCAACGTTGGTATAAGTAAATGAAAAATATCACGTCTAAAAGAAAAGTGAAAAATGACAGTGAAAATCTTAAGACCATAATTTAATTTTCAATTAAAATTCACTAAACTATGAAGAGTATGATATTGAACAGTGGATAGATTACATTAATGTAATGATAAGTGAACAAGTCTGTGAAATACCACTTGATTTCCACCAACTTTATCAGCAGGTTACGTTGAATGATTTACACGATTTTGACTGGTTAAAATGTTGTTTTACTAATCCTAAGAAACGGAAATATTATACTGGATGTTTTAAAATGATGTATTTTTGTATCAACGGTTTTGCATAAAACAAACAGGCATTTTCTTAACAACCGTATATCTTACCGTCGCGTAAACATCCGATCCGATACAGAGTAGGCATACGGATAACAAACGCAAACAAATCATCAATAAATGTATTCAGTGCTTTGTATGTCAACATTCTCCATGGAAGATGAGCAACAGATTTCATTTTGTAATTGATAAACAACTGTGGAGTCATCATGATAAAGCCTGCAAAATATACCGAAAAAGATTTAAATATCAGGCATTACATTGTGAATAAAGATTCATTAAACACTTTTCAAAATACCGTTCTTATCACTAGTGGATAATCGTAAATGCACAGCAAGGATAATTTGTCGAGTTCGCTGAATACGTTTATTGGACCATGATGATTCGAATTTGGATAATTATTTATTAAAGTGTGGTAACCAAGTTTATGAAGGTGGTTTTTACTATCCAGATGCTCAGCCATGGACGGATACTGCTAAGATACATGAAAACTGGATAAAATGTGGTCTAGGCATTATGGTTTCGTGACCACATGGTTCAATGGACAACTGCTTGAAGCCAATCACACATAACATTTACCTGAGTAGTTTAGGATGAGCTAGAACTATATTTTTAAGGTTTAATTTCCCAGCAACGAAACTCTGTGGGATAAGTTGAGATGGGGCATTCTATAACCAAACTTCATTAACTTTCTCCTTCTATTGTAGAAAGGAAGGATCATTTTAAATGAGCATCTGGAGGAACCATCTTACTGTGGACATATTACAACATAGTACGAGTTGAGTTTAGGAAATTTAATTTGCTGCTTTCAGTTTATCGTTTTTCACCTGATCTGCTTCTGAATGGATGACCTAAAGGAACAAATATTTCACCATATCTAAATCAAGGTAGTAACTCAGATCAAAAATGGGTAGGTCGAATGAGTAGACAATTAGTTTCACGAATAACAACCATCCTGGCAATAAAGTTTGGCGATCAAATAATTTAATGGATCTCAATTCAGAAAACAAATTCAAATGTAAGCAACAAAAAGAATTAAACAAGAGACTGTTTTACTTGATCACGAACTGTAAGCCAGTTAAACATCGATAAATAGTTAGTGGATCCTGTGTATAAAACTAAGTGGGAAGTTGAAACAGAACGAAGTTCATGATCTAAATTACAAGAAAATTCATATCCGAAACAGTTTCACCCTGTCTGACCTGTGAAAATTTGTTTGTTAAACGTTAACTGGAAAAATTAGAATTTTAAAATATCAATTAACACAAACATTAAACAACTACTGATCTACTCGTTTACAAAAGACGACAATAATATACAGAACTATATTCCAGTTAAATTAGTCTGAACTAAAGCACCTGGTATCAGCAACTAAGATTATTAGTCATAAATTACAAACACATAATTGTAGTAAAACTTATCTTCAGTTTGGTTAGGATTTTACTGTTCAAGCAACCTCTTTATACAGCCAGGAAGTAAATCGTTCTAAATAACCATAATTATGTTAAAAGATATTATTATTATTATTAGGTGACAGAAACGGTGAAAAAACTCATTGGTAAATGTTTAGTATAATATGTCGAAGGGGACACGCATAAACATCCTTATACGATTGTACCATCCGATTTATTTTAACCGACAATGATTGTAACGCCATCGAAGGATACTATACTGAGCCCGTTACCAACTTGAAAATTGTACTACAATTATTCATACAAGTTATTTCAACTTAAATTAGTGGTTGCATTGCAAAAGTGTATAAAATTTACCGAATGTTAACAAGAAACCGTAGGACACAGATAGTATCCACGAATACCAACCACGATGTTCTTCATATATTAATGAATATCCACAATAAGCTGCTAGCAATGGGAATAAAATCCAAGATAAATACCGGAAAGCCATCTGAAAAATAAACAAAATTCACATTTAGTTTTGTCTCTGAAAACACCTCACTTCTGGATATATTACAATTGACAATAATAGAAACAATAAAACTTGGTACGCTGGAAAGTTTTATGATATTGTGAATAGGATTAGAGGTATTAATACTAAAAAAACTACATCATATATGAATCACGATAGGTTAGGTGTTTAAGGTAATCAATCTTTGTATATTATCCCAGAACTCTAATTTTATCACTTACATTCCAGACGATTGAGAGCAGTAAGACAAACTTCGTGATGGTTTTTCGTTCTCTGAGCTGGGTGTTTTGGTTGTGGAACTTTCATTGTTCTTCTGACCTTAAGTTCAGTAGCAACCAATCAAGATCGAGGTTAACAGAACAAGCTACGGGTCAAACGTGGAGAAATTCGAATACTTCACTGCTATCTGAAGTTTGTGCTGATGATATTAGTCAGTCAGTTACAAGATAGAACTTCGTACGTAAGTACATAAGTTCATGTTATCATACCACATTGGTACAGAGACGCAATTATCATTTCAAATCGCACAGTGGTAGAAATAGTAGACGCATTCACGGTAATAGAGAAGATTAGGGTTCGCAGGAATTATTCAAAAAGGATAATCTAGTGAGACACCTAAAAACATGAAGGTGATGAGGAATTCAGGAGATTTCAGAGAATGCAGAGCGAATGCACCTGAACCAGTGGAAACGATTTTCAGCTATGTCGTTCGAAGTCTCTAACCATCGGTTACTATCGTCTCAGGGACACCAATCAGGTAGTCTACATCTACCAACATGACTCCACAACCAAAACACCCAGCTCAGAGAACGAAACACTACCTCAATCATCCACCTGAGCTACAAAGTTTCTTAACCATCTCAAGACAAACTTCAATATGTATGCCAGTTCATAGTATAACCATGCTGACAAGATAAAAATCTGATATAGTATAATTTACCTGATCATATTTTTTGGTATCACTTTCTACATAGGATGATTGGTAATCTACATGAATGCGTGGAAACAAGTTGAATACCAATGAATCATAATCCAACTAGATCGAAAGAAAAACAACAACAAAAAGAGATAGATCATTGAAACATGATAGCTTATTACAAAAAATATTATCAGAAGCTGTACGGAAAAGCGTTTAGTATTGGGATTATTTTATTGTGAGCAGATAAGAAAGAAGGAAGAAAGCGAATAGTTTTAAGCATGTGTTGATATGAAGCGCAGTAAAGAGGAGAGTATTATGTGCTACGCGGCCTGTTCAAGCTTTTGAGCCACCAATTTTTTAATTGTAGAGAGATTGTAGTTAAACTACCTCCCTTATGTTTACTAAAACTGACAAACTAGGGGACTCCACAAGCCTCATACAGCAAAAATAGCCATGCGATCACTGGTGAGTGGTCTTGAGAGGTAATTCAAAGAGTGAGAAGTTGTGACCCATGGATTTCAGTCGTGTCGCATGTGGTAATTATTTACTAGAAACAATGAAGGATGCTAAATATTACAAAGTTGCATTTGTTAACCACTGAGTATCGGTTTGGTGGTCTAAACAACAAACAAGCGCCGCGAGACTAAAGGTTTTGGGTTTGTTTTCCCATGGGGTAGCATGATGTTCGATGCCGATGAGCCTAAGAAGAAATGGTTTTTCAGTGCCTTTTGGTTACGACGAAATGCTTAATTTAAGTCGGTTCCTGATATCAAAGACGTCCGACTTCTCCATATATATAAGCTATTATGATATTAAACATTGAATAGGGTTCGAAAATAACAAGTGGCATTTTGAATGTACGGAATTAATTAAAGTACCCTAACTCCGTATGGCCGAGAATGAGGCGAATATGCCCTCCTTTGAAATGCTATCATACGGCCACGCGCATACAGCCGCTGTTAGAGAACTCTTAATGACTGCCTCATCGCGGCAGGAGTGATATTTATGAAATTCAAGGGAGGAAGGATCATTTTAGGCGTCTAAAATGGTTGGTGGGTATACAGGACTCACCTCGGGCAGTAGGAAAACCATGATCTCAAACCAATGGTTTAGATCGAGTCTAGTATCGTGAGGGAACAACTTACTGTTTGTCACCGGCTACTATGGGGCAACATCTCTTAAAGTTGTTTCATTGATTTGGGGATTAGATTTGCAGAGCTAATGCTCGAGGAGTGATTCTTTACGAAAACTACCTGTTTTTGGTTTGGGCAGCTGGACACTATCCCAATCCATTTACAAATTCACTGATTTGTGTGGCCCTCTATGTAGCAATAATTATGTGTTTAATTAAATCATAATATGGACTTTGATAGTCAACAGCTAATGAATATCTAGATTGAGAAACGCACCAGTTACATGAGCAGTATAGTCCGCGGGATTATTCATTATCAAATAATGATGTCAAATTCTGAAAATCTAATCAATAATTTACTGCTTTAAATATATAATCAAAGAATTATTGTTTCAAAGCATAGAATTCAATCATGTTTGAACAATTCGACTTACTCTAAAAGAAAGAACCTTTTTGATTTTCCAGATCTCAATTAACAGTCCAAAAACAACTGATAGTTTTATAACAAAATTGGTATCGTTATCAAGTACGTATAGCACGACAATGAATGACTGGAAGACATTGAAAAATACAGAGCGAACTGAGAGACCTTCTAATGATTCTCTTGTTTTCCAAAATTGTATGTCTAAAGGGTTGTAAAAGAAATGTATTTCACACTTAAACAAAAAAAAGAATTAGATCAAACAAAATTGTCGGTAAAAGCACAAATCTTATTAATACATTAAGGTTAACAATGAAATATAAGACATTAGGACGCTTTGATTTTTCTATGACAAATAAAAAATATCAAGATTTCAGATAACAGTAGGTGAATTTTCACATGCAGTGTGAAGTCATTTTACTTCATAAAATCAGGTTAATTTAGTCAGGGTACACTGAACCCAAATAGTAACAGATGGTTAGAGACCTTGAACGACATGGCTCAAAATCATTTGCAGTGGCGCAGATGCATCCACTCTCGGTGTTCTATGAAATTCTAATCTTCTGAATTCGTCATCACCTCTACTTTTCTCTTTCTAAACTTATCTCACTGAATTATACTTCCTGAATAATATCTCCGAACCTTAATCTTCTCCATTACCAGTAACACTTCTATCTACCACTATCGGATTTGAACTGACAATTGCGTCTCCGTGCTGATGCGGTATGGCAACCTGAACTGATGTATTTTCGTACGACGTTCTACGCTGTAACTGAATGAACCTAAATATATTGGATTCGGTAAATAACGCGATTGACGTTCAAGCGAACGGTACTGGGTTTAATTCCCGGAGTGAACACCAGCTCTAAGATGCAGGTACGTCCAGTTGACGAGTCCCAAGTAGAACGGAACGCGCATCCTGGATTCCACTGATAGCTACTATCCAATTCTTCCAATAATGCTTGTAACCTAAAGACAATATCGAGGCCATTCGCACAAAATGCACATATGCCAAAGAGACTGATCATTTGCAATCCTAAACATCAATAGGAACATTCAAAAAACCGATACAAGTGAATTCACAAAACAATATTTGTTTTGAATCAACCTAAAAAACCAGAAGTTACAAATAAAATATGACATGATTAGCAAATTATTACTTGACAATTAAACTCACCATTTTTAAATGCTAGCAACTCAAAAACGCTATGTACAATTGACACGACGACTGTTACAGCTAAAAGCAAAGGATTTGTTTCGATCAGTGCTTTCTATATATATATATATATTAGGGAAGAAAAAATGAGAAAATCAGGTAGAGAATAGTAAATGAAGGAGTAAGATAAATTTAACATAAATAGATTGTTGACAAGCGATTTCAAAATTGTCATAATGATAATTCTTAGTAGAGTTCAACGAAAAATCATTGATTTTTTGCTATACTTATTTGTTGACAAAAATATATCTATAGATATACTGAATTCAACGGGACATTGAATGGTAATTCTGTTCAATTAAAACACTTGATGTCACCCATCCAGTTAAAAAATACAGACAGCTTATTTATACTACTTAAAGTAACTTCAGTAACTAGTTAACTTTCGCTAAATTCAGTAAACTGGATTATGGCTTATTAGTGAATTTTATCTTCATTCGCAATCAAGTGTTGATAATGTATCATCTCCGAAATCAAAGATTTATTTACAACAAAACTATGTATAGACAACTAATAAGTAAAATCAGGATCTTAAGTATTGTTTACTTGATTAGTGTACTAGTTTAGTAAAAACTAAGTTCATATTAAAGCTGAGAAAAAGTAATTTTTTACATTTCACACAATTAATTCTACCTTTATTGTGTCTTGTTCCTCATCATTTTCATTTTCCGATGGCAACATAGAAGCAGACATCATCTGGTTAAACCAAGTTTTCTTAGCCGTTTGTGCAGCATACAACTGCCATTTGAATAAAGATAAAGGTGCTAAAGTAATATGGATTGGTAGCACCGGCGTAGTTTCATTTACTGGTTTATAATCTTCATTTAAATTCCAATAATCATTTAGGTAAACAACCGGATAGTACTCATTTGTCGGTGAATAAAATTCTATAACTGAAAATTAGTAAAAAACCCCAGCAATGTTAAGAAATAGATATTCGTTAATAGCTTGCATATATATATATATATGCACGTAACAAAAACAATGCCAGCTTTAGCATTTAAGAGTGTAGAGAAGGTATGGTGAAACGACTGGTTATCTCGTGGTATAATCAGAAACCGCTTATTAAAGTCTCAAGCTTTCTAATTATAGTAAAAACAAAACATGTGCCGTGAGGCCTTCAGTTGAATAAAAGCAATCGTTTAAATGACTACGGATAAGAACTAATGAAGAAAGTTTATTTACTGTATACACTGTATATTACTGCACATGTTAGCTTCTTTGACCGGAGTATTCAGAACAAAACATTTCACAGTAACGGAAAACGATAATTCAATCATACGTTCAGCACATTATATACATATCTGCATGGTAACTACAGTTGATCATTTCATGCTCGGTCAATGTAAATATAATTGTTGCATACAAATAAAATGCGAACACAATATCGATTAAAATAATTTACATATTTTGATATTTTTTCAAGAATCAATTTTTGATTTACTTGAAAATGAATTGAATTACAAGCTGAAAAATCTATTGATAAAAGACAATGAGACACATGACTAGTTACGATTCGCATAATTCCAGTTAGCACTAGTGCTGATTATCGGCATCACCAATTTACTTATCGTTTGACAGACGATTTGTATGGTAAGGCAATTACTGAATGTAATACACGCGTTTAGATATTTTGAGACTACTTAGACCCTGGAAGGTGTTGAAATTAGTCGGTGAGGAAGTTGAAACAACAACAAATCCTGATTCCCGATAAAAATATCAGTTTATGACATACATAAAAACTTAACTCTCAAATGTTGCGAAGATGTTATAATTATCCATAAGCTCACTTAATACACAACTACAAATTAGTTCAATGTGTTTTTAATCTCAACTTTGTGCACAAAGAATGCATTTGGTTATACAGGCTAATAAATCGATAAATACCACACCGACAAAATTTCATAAAAAATAACTAATTGCGTTAAAAACATTCATAATCTTTATAAATAATGGTCAAAAAACGCATTAAAATCACGTTTAGTTAGTAGACCACGTAACTAACAAATAAGCAGTATACAAAGTGAGTTGCATTAATTGTCTGTGAAAGTGAAAGAAATACGTACAACAACAAACAATGAAGCAATAAGCAAACGACGTTTTGCAAAAATAGCTACCACTTATTTTGTACTGAATAAATTTAAACAAGAAATAGAAGTTGGCCAACCGATTGAAACAAACAACGAGGTTTAATGAAGAATGAAAAACTCAGATACAAAGTTGGATGATGAAGATTCTAAACTGTTTGAGTTATATACCGTAACTTTGTACGTAGTTAGTAATCACCCAATAAAAACAGCAATGTAAGATTTAAAAGCTACAGATACCTTACAAAAAATATCCTAGAAAATGAATGATTCATATGTCGCATTGAACAAAACTGACTTGATATGTTATGGAGAAAATGTGTACTCTGAATTGGTAATTCAAGTATATCTATTTTCAGTCATAAATACAAACGTCAAAGATATTACTAATATGCACATAAAACGAAATAGCGTGATGCAAACACGTGGAATAATTTGATTCTATGAATCAGTAATAAACGTAATGAAGTAAAAATTTATTTTAATAGGAAGCAGTCAGTAAAAACAACTTAATCACTGCCTGACAAATTGTATACATATGAAACAAAAACAATTCCAACGACTCAATTATAACATTAATTATAGCAATTAAATATGAGGTTCAGTGTAAAATAAAGCTGAAAAAACAAATATTAATCTACATTGTACCTCAGATTTTTACATGACCTGATACAATAAAAGAAATAACAAGTTCACGAGCTTCAATAAAATACTTGTGCATTTGTGTTATTTTACTTTTATTATCTTTCTTTATGAATATAATTTTAAAAAATTACTATTGATTTTATGAAACAAACTTCACGCTAACTGTCTACGTTATCAAAGTTTAGACCGCTATTCAAATCCAAAAACGTATCTAAATTCAGTCGTACAGCGAAATTAAAATCACTGCATACTGACTCAGAATATATTTACCTTAATAACTTACTGCACTATCCCTAGTCAACAAGTACTACTGGTTTCATATTAGCCTGTGGAAATATTCCGGTTTATGGAAATCCGAATTTATCGGTTTTCTTTTTCGACAGCACTCGATTGCAGCACAGATAAGAAACATTTGTTAGTAATAAAAAAGTACCAATGAAAACAATGTGGAAAACCGGCAATGACTGTTAAAGATGGACAGTCACAACGGAGACTTCATGGATTTCTGCCACGGTTTCGTTTGGAAACCACTAGGTTTCTTCCAACCTACTCCTAAACCACAAAACATAGCTCGCCGCGGCAGTTGGTGGTTAGGCGTTCGTAATACATGTCCTAATCACTTCAACTGATGGAGTTTCAATAATCCATCAATTGATCTGCCATCTCTACCTAGTACTCGTTTCCTAACGACAGCATTGCTTATTCGATTGTCCCAGGATACACGAGCAATGCTTCGGAGAGACTTATGATCGAAAACCAGTAACCTAAGAATATCTATCCTTACTGGCCCTTTTTGCATCCATAAAGTAGGACGGAGCGAACTGATGCGCAGTACACTCGTCCTTTGGTTAGCAGACGGATATCCCGCCTTCGCCATAAGTGACGCAAGTTGGCAAAAGCCAATCGAGCTTTCTGTATCCGTGCTGAAATTTCGTCAGACACCGGGTCATTGGCACTGAGGAGACTCCCCGACTGTTGAAGTAGTAGTTGAACATCAGTGATTTAGTCACAAGTTGGTTAGAACTTGAAAACAAGGCGTCAGTGATTATATATATATATATATATATATATATATATATATAATGTTGATAATGTGAATAACGGTCATATAATACTGCGTGACATGCTGGGAAACAAAAAAGTATATTTCTTTTATCGAGTTATGGTTATTCGAAACAGAAGAGTGAGAATAGTTGACAGTGATAAACTTAGAAAATTTAAAATATATATGTTGGGTTAGAGCTGATAAAAGTAAGACTGTACACTTTATCTTTTCACTGAAAATAAAATACTTACATTGATCTAAAGGAACTGGAACTGAACCTTCTACCCACGGAGAATGATCATCAACTAAGTTAATAGTTAAATTTGGATGCCAATGAGTGACTGGAGGTAAATATTGTACATCGGATGGTGTCGATGAATCAGCTACTAAATCTGGATGAGAATCAGTGTGACCTGTGATTAGATTTGTAGTACGGGATAGACGACGACGTTTGTAACGTGTCAACACTGAAACAACAAAATAATATTGAACTATATAGTGAATAGTAAGATATGTTAATTCATTAAACCAAGCTTTTTAAAAATGACTGCAACGGGTTGTAAGCAGTACCAAATGTATGCTAACAAATATGTTAGATAAAAGGAATAAAAAGAGAAGTATTTCAACACTTACTTTTTGATTTATATACAGTATACTTCATTGAATAGTTATTGCCCGTATTTGGATCTGGTGAAAAACCAGGTTTAACAAAATACACGTGTATATACAATGAACCATTGGACATAAGGTTTGGGAACTACAAAAAACAGAACGAGTAAACGTGGAGGAATGATTGATTTATGATACATAAAAGTGAAGAAACAATCTTCATCAAGATGATTTACCATTTACACAAAAATTGAAAATCAAGCCGGTTTTGAACGATATACATAAAATTATAGGTTTGGTTTGGTAGTCTTAATAAATTCATAAATAATGGATGCAATTCAATTTCTGAAAGCTGTCATGTAAGCCGCTTAACCAAAGCTTGGTAGGTGAAACGATGAGCCACCGAAAAATCAGCAGGGTGGACGAGAAAACTGTATCAAAAAGATATGAAGATAATGGTAACCAAGAGAAAGATATGAGAAAAAAACAAGGACCCCGCAATAACTACAGTACTAAACGTGAAAGCTTACAAGTCTACGAAAAAATGATATATAACTTACCTGGATAGATTGATCATAAATAGCTCACTCTCATGTTAATATAGAACATTGAGACAACGAGTGGTTATCTACCTATGAATGACATATTATTTTAAAACTTTCAGGTGTACAAACTTGTCGGAAAATTTTCTTGATTCAATGTTGCACAACATTAGCATCAATTACCAGATAGCTTACCGTCTACAGGTATTGCTTCAAAATTTTTTATGACCGAGTATTTGTAACTTCTGTCAATTCGAAATTTTTCGAAAGACTGCTTCAAAAACGCACTTTGACACAGAAAACTCGAGTAGTTAACTCAATCTTTCTGAGATTTAGTTTTTATTACAAATATAAAAAATTATTGGAAGCAAATGAGTCTTTTGCACAAATGCCAAAATTTTGTACGTCATTAAAATATCAGTAATGCGACTACGTAAGCGAAGTGAAAAGCGCATTAAACGTTTTAACTTCATGTCGTAAAAGTTACTGATAAAAACTAGCCATCAGATATTTGAGTGTGATTAATTTGGACCAGATATTTTTTGTGTATTTCTTAACTTTAAGCCAAGCAGCCTATTCATGCCGGCGATAGATAGCGAACGACTGAAAAGTAGCTAGGAGCAAGTTGTACTGTTCACAAAAATCAATTGCCGTCATAAATATTGGTCAACGACCTATTTTTCTTTGTAACATCCTTGACAATAGCTATCTTCTCAAAACTCATTCTTTATAAATTTAGGCAATCGTTTACTATTGTTCATTACTGTCGTATTCAAATTCATTACCAAAAACCTTTACCCTGGATTTGTCAAGCTTACATATCATAAGGTGCTTCGATGATTAATTTACAAGCATTGTTGGTTTAAAAGGAGTTACTGGGTTACGTTTACCTGAGGAAAAGATTTATGCTGAAAGATAACAATATTTACGTCTATGCTACATTAACCACTGTAATACGACAGTTGTCCCCTAAATATATGTAACATAATCTACCAGCTGAAATTAAAGAAATCTGACTCAGTTACTGATATAATAAACTTGTTACTGTTGTGATGTGGATTTGAACGTCATCCTATCTTTCTCAGTGAGTTGTCTGGAATTGCCTCAGGCCATATGGTCTGTTTTATTACTGAATTTGCTTTATTTTTGATGGTCTTTCAAATGTAACTATGTTGAGCCCATGAAAGTATAAACCATTTGCGTTCGAAACGAAGTGGTTGGAAAGTGGTAGTTTACTTGTTCTCTCTTTCCAATGATAACAAGCAACTATACAGTATACCTCAACTTTTAATTTGATAGGCATTAAGGTAAACTGGATGTAGAAGCTCGCATAACGAATATATTTGACTTCGCAAGTAGACTAGAAATTCTCAGGACCGCTATTGTTATAGCATAACTATAGCTGATTGAAAATATAAATACGTGTTGATAAAATCATTTGCAAAGCCAGTTGTACTTAAGTAGTGAGATCATTTACATTATATACCATTGAGAAATAAATTAGGCATAAATTTAATATTTACCTATAATATTTTGCATACATTCAAAACAACTGGTAAACCACAGAAACCCACCTGACTGCATTGAATTTCAGTGATCTTAGAATATGAACCATCTCCACTGGGTCCACCATTCCAATCCCCATAGGTAATATTGGGTTCATACCAAAGCAAAGCATTAGAGCTATTAAAAGAATGAAATGTTGGATCTTCGCTTAAAAAGACAAATAAATCCATCTGAGAACCCGATTGATAAAGATTTGTGGCTGGGATGACTGTTTTGCTTGGATCCATCTGGTTAGATGAAGGACGACGAAATAAGTTGAGGACAAAGTATGCTGTAAGTAAACGGAAGGCAAATGCTTTCAACATTCCCCATTTGTTTGGTTGAGCTTGCTGCTGTTGAACAGCGGGTGTTCCAGTCGTACCGACAGCAGGCATGACCTAAACATGAAAAATTGAAGAGACAAAGCCAATAGAATAAAATGATTTGGAATGATCACATTATAACGCTACTCAGCAAACAAAATATACTAGTTAAAATACTTTCACGTTAGGTAGCAGGTTCCATTAACAACAGAGTGAACACTGATTACAATACTAAAGTAACAAAATCTTATGAAACTGTAGTAGGAACCAAATTAAGCCATAAAAACAGGTTAACCAGATGGAAAGAAAAGAAAGTAACTCATTACCAGTGAGAATATGGTTCGAGAAGGTATGAGAAAGTATCTATGAAGAAATACTAGAGGACAAGGAGTAAATGCACTGTGACCATTATGAGTGAACCTAAGCTATTTAACCAATTTCGGTTATTGTGCATAAGCTTACCAAAATGGACTAAACTAAGTTAATGAATTCATGATTTAAGCTCACATCATGATTTAGACAATGTCAGCTTTCTTTTAACTCACTTCTCCAGCCAATTCCTGGTCTCCTGAAACCATGCTCCAAACTACATGTTGGAGCATTTAGTGTTTGAACCTTGTGCCAAATAGGACAACAAGCTTCCCTAGCCAGGAATTTAGAATCTCACGCTGCGTCTCCGAAACGCGCATTCAGGATACAAGTAGAATCATTCATTTGACTTTGAGTTGTCAAGGTAAAGAACCGTGATGATTTACGCTTTGCGTCTGGAAATCCCACTGCTACACCCCGCGGACGCTTGTGTACGTATTACAATGAGTTCTAAGGCTGAACTTTCTTTCTTAGACTGGATCCCAGTAGAGCGTCCCTCATGTGCTGTCCGACTAAGCGGGGCAGCAAGGACTCAAACAGACAGCGACACGCCGATGCCTTCTGAATTCCTCATCACCTCTATTTTTCTCTTTCTAAATTTACCTCCGTAAATTATACTTCTTGAATAACATCTTCGAACCCTAATCTCTCCGATTACTTCTAATACTTTTACTACCTCTACTACTATGGGATTTGAATTGACAATTATATCTCTGTGCTGATGTGGTATGGAAACTTGAACTGCTGTGCAAAGTTCTACGTTGCTGTTGATGATGCCTCTTTGTTACCTCTGCCTACACTCCCACTGACTGAAGCTCAGATCAGTAAAAGATAAAGTTTACGGAAACCTTTCGAACCTCGTTCAAAACGGTAGGCGCTTTGATGTGGTAATAGCAGCTGGTGATTCTAATGCTCAAGTAGATTAAACGAAATAAAAAAACCTACATGGATCTCACTGTGTCGCAGCTCATTGAACAGATAATGACGACAGTCTACTGCTGCTGTTATGTTCAGATAACCGCCTGTTTCTGGCAAATACCAACATTAGGCATGGTGAAAGACATTTTTCGACATGAAGACCTCCAAAATCGACTCAATGCTAGACTCAAACAGACAATATTGCTACCAGCCACCGATGAGGCGGCTCAATAAAAGACTCCTGCTCATTCTGGAGCACCTTTAAAGATTCATATCATGCTCCAGTACGAAAACGTATTTGTCTGCGGCTTACTGGACTCGAAAGAGACAGTAAGGGAACCTAGAGTTCTACGTAATGACAAAAAAGCCAAGAGTATATTTCGAGAGTAACTAGGAGCTAGACAACCATGTAAGTGATGCTCGTCATCCCAAAGCAGCTTGGAATGATATCCAAAAAGTTGTGGAAATTGTAGTGATTTCTGTTATTAGGTTACACCAAAAGAAAAGGAAAAGTTATTGATTTCAGTGAGATCCACTGAACAGATAGACGCACGGAAACTCATCCCGTCTGACTCTGAGTACGATGATGAGCGGAGTCAGCTTATGTGCAGGCTGGTAAAAAGCCTACGCAACGATCGCGAACACTGGTGGCCAGTGGAGGCAACAGAGATGGAAAAGACAGAGGCGATAGCTAACAATAGACTAGTCAGACTTATAAAGCAGACCAATATTAGAAATGCGGCTGTTAGTGAGACTCTCGGAGAAAGATAGGTCTATATTCATTCTCAATCCATGAAATTGGATCGATGGGCAGAACACTTTAGGGAGCAGTTCAAATCGCATTCGTACACTCTCCGGTCACCCACGATATCCAGTTGAAAAGACCACAGGTAACCTTAAGCCATGGAGAGCAGCAGGATCTGATAATCTAACCCATGGATTTGTTAAGGATGGTGATCAGATTACAGCAGTTAGTTTGACTGAGATCTTGTCTAGAATCTGGTAACTAGGTATGATCTCATATCACTGGTCTCAATCGCTGATTGCCCCAGTCTATGAGAAAGGACAGGAGTCCTATTGTGACAATCACAGAGAAATCAGTCTAACTAATGTAGTGTCTGACATATAAGCTTCAATAGTACTTCGGCGCCTAGTTAGAGATCCGGAAACTCAGGGTCGGTTCAGACTTGGATGTTGCTGTAACGACCAGATATTCACACTTCGTCCGACAATAGTTGTATCCATTGACCTTGAGGCGGCGTTTGACTCTGTCGATTTTGAGGTTCTGTGGTCGTGTCTGTCATTGGAAGGAAAATCAAAGAAAAACGTTAACCTTATACAAACTCTACCCGAACACTACTGGTTGAGAGTCAGAGCTTATGGGTAACTATCATGGGAACTAATCTGGGGTGATGTTTGTCAGGGTTGTCCATCTTCCTGATTTTCGTTTAACTTTGTTATTAACACGCTTTTAGAGATCGTCTGACTTTCTAGGAGTTGACCTTCTTCCAGAAGATTTATCTGTTGACTTTGGATATGCTGATGGCAACGTCCGTTTACTTCAAGACAATCGAGTAAACAGTGCTGCTGTTAGGAAAAACATATTAGGTAAGAATGGTAAATACTCGATGAAGCAGTGAATGTTCATTAGTTGGGTTGGGACATGTGTTTCGTATGCCTAACCACCGACTGCCTCAACGAGCTGTTTTGTGATGTAGGAGTAGGTTGGAAGAAACCTAGTGGTGACAACAGTAAGGTGTTTCCCTTGGAAAACCAGCGTCTGCAGCGATGTTGCCTTCTCTCCAGGAAGGAATGGTTAGAAAAGATTGACCCTAAAAATGTCACACCTCACCCTACCTCACGGATTTCCGTCTCCGGCGGTAAGGGTGCACACTAATGGCTTTTAAGAGCGGATCTAATACTGGAAACATCTTTCATAAAAAGGCCGTGCGTGACTGGCCTCAAGCAGTTGTCTCTTGGGCTCTGCGGTCACGCTACCAGGTCGTTAAGACCAACACTAATCTACCTTTCTTTTCAGGTTCCCCAAGAAACACTCCTCCACGGTATGGGCATCCGGGAAGTGACAACCACCCCCATACTCGTAGCAGCACACAGGACTAAACTGGTCACAACCAAATCCCTCCTGCACCCCCTAAAATCCCTCTTATCTTCACGACTAACTCTTCTCACATTTCTTTATCACCCCGCACCTCTGTTGCAAACGATTCGAGTTCACGAAACGTTATTTCTGGTCTCCTGAAACCTCGTTCTAAAATACATGTTGGAGCATTTAATGTACGGAAATTGTCAAATAGGGCAAAAGGCTTCATCATCACTTCACCATTTTAAAATAAAGAAGCAACTCGATTTAACCTTCGTGTATCTGGAAGCCCTGGTGCTGCTTCTCGGGGTCTCGCAAGTGCATTGAGCCCTAGGGCAGAACTAACGCTCCTAGACTGGATCCCTGTAGATAGTCGTTTGTGCGCTATCCGACTAAACGGGACAGTAAAGACTCGGAAAGATAGGGACACTCGCCGTTGCCTCTTCGTGTATCTGCCTACACTCCCACTGACTGCAGATCAGACGAGGTGGAAGATGAGTTTTACAGAAAGCTTTCGGACCTCCTCCGAAAAGTTAGGCACTCTGATATAGTAATAATGACTAGTGACTTTAATGCTCAAGTAGGTAGACTAAGTGAAAAGGAAAGACACTTGGATGGGTCTTATAGTGTCGCGGCTGATAGAACAGATAATGGCGACTGTCTGTTGCAAATATGCTCAGATAACGGCCTATTTGTAGCAAACACTAACTTTAGGCATAAGGAAAAGCATCTGTTGACCCCCAAAGTTGTCACAACGCTGGACCCAACTAGATCACACTGCTATCAGCCACCGATGGAGGGGTTCGACAGAGGACTGTCGTTCGTTCTGGGGCACATGTCTAGATTCAGATCATGCTCTAGTGCGAGCACGCATTTGTTTGCGACTTACAGGACGTAGGAAAGACACCTCTTACGATTCTACTTAATGATGGCAGAGCTATAAATATATTTCAGGAACAACTAGAAAACCAGTTATGCGACCATGTGATATCCATCCGGGGGCAGCTTGGAATGATATCAAAAAAGCTGTGGAAACAGCAGCGATATCTGCTAGTAAGGTAAACCATATGGCTAGGAAGAAGCAGTGGATCTCAGTAGCATCTACCGAACTGATGGATGCCCGAAAACTTATCCGCCATGGCTTTGAACATGATGAAGAACGAAGTCAGCTTAGGGGCAGGCTGATAAAAAGCCTAAGCAACGACTCCGAACAGTGGGGAGTGGCGAAAGCAAAAGCAATGAAAAAGGCAGCGGCGACAGGCAACACTAGACAACTTTTCCGCCTTATAAAGAAAACTGGGATTAGGAATTCGAATGTGAGTGAGACTATATCGGAAAAGGATGAGACAACTATTCATTCTCAATCCAGGAGGTTGGGTCGACGGGCAGAACACGTTAGGGATCAGTTCAACTGGCCATCAATAACAGTTCGGTTGCACACAATCCTTAGTCATCCTGAATGGCAAATCGATATAAGTCCTCCTAGTCTTTATGAAGTTGAGAAAGCTATAGGAAATTTAAAGCGAGATAGAGCATATCCTGATAGGCTAACTCCTGAGATTTTTAAGGATGATGATACAGCTTTAGCAGGTAGATTGAATGAAATCTTAGGTAGAATCTGGGAACTGGACACAATACCATCTGACTGGTCTCAATCACTGGTTGTACCAGCCAGCCTACAAGAAAGGACTAACGTCCTCTTGTGACAATCACGGCGGAATCAGTCTAACTAATATGGTTTCTAAATTGTTAGCCTCGATTATACCTAGACGCTTAACTAGAGCTCGTGAGGAGTAGACTAGAGAAACCCAGGCTGGTTTTCGATCTGGACGTGTCTGTATAGACCACATCTTCACCATACGACAAGTCCTGAAACACACACATTCAGACGTCCGACAATAGCTGTCTCCCTGGACCTTGAGGTGGCATTTGACTCTGTGGATTGTGAGGTTCTGTGGTAGTGTCTGTCACTAAAAGGTGTACCAAAGAAGTACATTAACGCTACGCAGGCTCTCTAATCGAACACCACTGGTCGAGCGAGGGTCTAGTTACAGCCTATGGCGAACTGTCATTGAAATTTTCTACTTCAAGTGGCGTCCATCAAGCCTGTCCACTCTCTCCATTCTTGTTTAACTTTGTTGTAGAAATCCTCTTACAGTTAACATTATCCTCGTCAGGTTTTCAGTGGTGGAGCCTCTACGAGGAAGATCGCCTGATGGCTTAGAATATGCCAATGACGCAGTTCTATTCGGTGAAGACGCTGACAAAGTGCCCTAAGTAATAATGCGAGCATGTTCGGGATGCGGTTCTCCCAGTCAAAATGCAACATGTTGCTCCAAGATTGGCTTGCGTCGGCACAAGAATTAGTGATAGGGAGTGAAGTAGTTGGTCGTGTCAACCGCTTCATTTATCTTGGAAGTTTCATCAGCGCTGATAGCCTGGTGACTGACGAAATCTCAGCTCGGATACAGAAGGCTCGATTGGCTTTTGCCAAACTGTGTAACTTATGGCGCAGGTGAGATATCCGCTTGCTAACCAAAGGACGAGTGTACTGTGAAGCAGCTCGCTCTGCCCTGCTATACGAATGTGAAACATGGTCTTTAAGGGTAGAGAACATTCGTAGGTTACTAGTCTTCGATCATAGGTGTATCCGAAGCATTGCTCCTATATCCTGGGACGATCGAGTAAGCAATGCTATCGTTAGGAAACGATTTCTAGGTACGGATGGCAGATCAATAGATGAAGTGGTGAAACTTCATCAGTTGAGGTGGTTGGGACATGTGTTACGTATGTCTAACAATCGACTGCTTCGACGAGCTGTTTTGTGATGTAGCAGTAGGTTGGAAGACCAAAACATGGTAGAAATCCATGAAGTCACTGACTAGTGGACTGAGTCATGTTGGTAGATGTAGGCTACCTGGTTGGGGTCCGCGAGACGAAAGTCACAAATGGTTAGAGACCTTGAACGACAAGGCTCAAAATCGTTTGCAATGGCGCAAGTGCATCCATTCATTTTGTTTACTCAAATCCTAATCTTCTGGATTCGTCAACACCTCTGCCTTTGTTTTTCGAAATTTATTTCACTGAATTTTACCTGATTATCTTCGGATCCTAATGTTCTCCATCAGCATTAATTCTTCTATCTCTACCACTATGGGATTTGAATTGACAATCGCCTCTCTGTGCTAATGTGGTGTGGCAACATGAACTGATGTACTTTCGTACGACGTTCTACGTTGTAATTGACTCGCCGACTGAATAATATCCTTGAACCCTAATTTCCTCCATTACCGCTAATACTTCTACTACCTCTACCGCTATAGGGTTTGAACTGACAATTCGATGTCTCTGTGCTAATGTGGTATGGCAACTAGAACTGATGTACGTTGTAACTGACTGACCGACTATCGGCCAACACTGGGAGTGATTGAAACTTGCAACTAGGTGGCTTATGTAGTCATCACACGGGCTAGGGAAAATTCTTCAACTAAAATTATTTTCACTGTATTTTTCCCAAGTGAAATGTTTTTACCGATTTGTTCCACTCACGTTAGCTTGTCTTTATTCGTTTATTACTTTCTGTCAAACTCACCTACCTAAAGGTAGTGCACATAATTAGTTTGGTGCCCTTCTGTACAAACATGCGTTTAAATGAATAAATAATAGAACAAAACCAAAAAGCTTTATAAATTTTACCTGTGCAGGAATAGTATCAGGCATTTTGAACTTTGGAAAAGAAGTTTTCAAATCTGGAAAAGGAGTGAAAAACAGAGTAAATGGTTGACAATAAGACCCCTAAATATGTTTCAATACTACGTCTCGCTGTATTTCATAATCTATTAACAAAACCACTCAGACAGACAATTAATTGGTCCACACTGTAATGAGTAAAGGATTATAATATATTGCTTGTGAAACTATAGCGACTCTAGAGCTTTTTCAGTAAACATAAAGTTACGATTCTTTAATATTCACAATAGCACTAAAACATCATGATTCATTTTCACTGCTGCGGTTTCACACCTGAGCATTAGTTCATTAACTTTGACTACCTACATAAAATCAAGTTTTACCGCAATATTAGTTGATTCTGATGGAACATAAGTCTTACATGGAAATTAATACGTAGAATATTTCTCGAATATCAAGAAGTATATGTCAGGCATTTTACCAACTGGTTTTACGACACTATTTGCTATTGATTAGAACTATGATTATTGGAAATACCATAACGCTAACTAATTAGGACGATGTTTATCTTTGAGGCCTTTAGAGCGATACACTTACTACCTCACTAGTAGCCGAATCTATGAGCACTATTATCAGTAGAGTGAGATTAAAAGAAGGTTAAGTGCTATTATTAGAATGTTAAGTCCTGTGAGAAAGGACTTCATGAACACTGCTTTTGGCAGCTGCAGACCAGTGATTTCCGAAACTGTTAAACACTTCATATATGGGCGGTACCAGCCTGCCAACGAGTTGATGCAAGCCAAAAGCAGTGATTGATCCAACTCAGAACCAAGTTATTTATTAGAGAGCTCGTCATACAAAGAGTGTAAAAACGACGTGTACAAAACAGACTTATTAACTGGAAATCTTTAAAGTTCTAGATATGTGGTAAGTATAAAGACAGTAATTGAAGCGTACTCACATCGTAACTACACTCTAAGCACGGTTTATATTCAACATGCCGGGCATTAAAAGTTCAAGTGCCCAATAGTCCAATATCCAAAATCTTTTTCACGAGCTGGTATAAACTAATTGATTCCTTTGAGCTCGATTCCTGTTCTTTTAGTATGGTTCCAAGTATCTGGTAGCTTCCAAGGGACTGGAGTCTAGCCACTCGACTGCACTAATTCTAGTCAGTTGGCAGTTGTTTGTCAGTTCACTTGTCCCATGATTCGAATGACTGCTTTTGTTTCAGGTCGGGATTTCTGGATACCAGAAGTTATCACGTCGACAAGTTGGAGATATGTTAGTTGAATTGTGGAGAATAAGAAATAGAAAAGTCTTTTGCTAATGGTAAGAAATTTTCAGATCTGAGCAAATAAATGGATATGTTTATTAATTGGTGCTGAAGATTGTGCGAAAGGACGGAAGTGTAAGCGACTTGGAGGAAACAGAGACAGCAAGTGGGATAGACTAAGTTTTTGATCTGAGGAGATGGAGATAATTAACAACTAGCGTGTCTCAGGATGTGCAGCTGGCACTGTTGGTCCACGAAGACGATAAGTGAGGGGAATAATGCACGAACCTAAGTGTTCGCTCTTTATGCGCAGTTCTACGAGGATAACCTCGAGGGGCATGGTGGTGATGCTTCGGTAAGATACCCATGTTAAGATGATTTCGCGAGCTAAATATGTTGTATGACATTATCAGAATACCTCTGATTCTCCTGTAACTCAGAGAATATAATTCAAAGTGCTATCTATCTATCTTCGTAAGGATTAGTCTTGAACCTTATCATCCAATTAGTTGCTCGTCCCTGCATTCGATCCAGTAGATTTGTTCCTTTTAAAGAGAAGGGGTGTGACCTGAAGGTTTGGTAGTGCGTATCTTTTGAACAGAATCAAGAATAGTTTTGGGGTGATAGCGCCACGTTGCTTTCTCTCAAACTGAAGAGCTGTAATAGCCTTGGCTGTGTCACCCATTCAGTTTGAACTGGTGTCGAGACCTTCAGTAGTTACCAATCTGACATCGCGCTCTGAGGAGACATCAGGGAGCGGACTTCCACTGAAGATGTAAATCGTTTGTATCATATGGTGCTGAATGTACAGAAGGTGACATCTAGATCGGTTTAGCTTTAAACTGTTTTTCACTGCCCGTTCCCGAATAGATTTAAGGTCCTAGAATCCTCTTCGATTCCAATAGACCTCCAGATCTTTGCATCGTCTAGGTAGATCAATGCCTCTGAGCTATCTTTGCCTGACAGATCGTTAATGAATATCAAGGAGAGAAGTGGACCTAAGACGGTCCCCTGTGAAACTTCCGACTATGAGACTAGCCAATTCGGCTGCACTCTATTTACCTTGGTAAGAAACTTTCTATTCTCAAGGTAGTTTCCGATAGCAGTGGATCAGTGAAGCCTATTTCCGCAACCTTTGCGATTAAGCATGCGTGTGGTAATGTTTCTAAGGCTTTTGCAAAGTCGAGAAATATTACGTGCACTGGTATTTTTCGGTCTAAGCAGGATGTCCAACTGTCCCATACTATGGGAAGATTGGATGCTCACGACCAGCTTTTCCGAAACCCCTGTTGAGCTTCATGGTGTGTTTTCTTCTTATCCATTTACTCAATCATCTGTTGGTTCACTAGTGAATGTCTGATCAGGTCAAATTTCGATGAGTAGAGGACTTCTACACATTGTTTCAAGACTGTGGAGAATATTCTCACAACCTGGTGACTTTTCCGGGGGTAAGGATTTTAGTTATCTCAATACCAAGTTTCGTCTGCATTTGGAGAGCTAGCTTTATCTGAAAGCGTCTCTTATCACTTCGAACTTCGAACTCTCAATACCAAATAATCGAGGTTTCACTATTTCTCATCCATGTGTCATGTAGTGGTTCCGCATACATGCTCAGTCATCCCAGAACTTCTAATTGCTGCACCAAGTCGTCTTTGGAACCAAGTAGTGGGGGTTGTACCTTGTTTGATGAGATTCAAAGATGGGGTGTTGACATATCCAGCTAAGAGTATTTAGTGAAACCCAAGGAGTGGCAGTTGCAGTAATGCTTATGTCGGTTTATCTTTGTTTCCTAGTACAAGAGGGGGGTCGGTAAATTTTTCCAACCAAATTTTTCGTGCCATTTGAGCAGAACTAACACCAACATGATTCTGTCACCTCGGTTATTTGAGTGCTGTGTAGCCATTCGGCTTTTAAATGGCGGTTAATAAATACGACCACCCCTCCTCTCGGGTGCACCTTACCGCATCGGAAGAGTGTCATGCCTTGCAAACTCACTTAATCGTCTGCACTGTCTTGGAATATCAATTTTCAGCCAGGATGATGATCTTCGGATCTATCTGAAAGCACATATTCATGATTCTTAACTACTTGCCTCTTAGTCTTCTTACGTTGCTATAGAAACGCTAGGTGGTTTATCTTGCTGCACATCTGCAGCAATAGCCGTTGTTGGATTTTCCAAAAAGTTGTTCAGACATGGTGACTTATTCATCGTGAGATCTGATGGACGAGATAATCTGCAAATGCCAGATGCCATGATTCTGTGAAGGCACGTGCTACTCGATAGCCATCGCCACTGAGGCATAGCATACGCATGAACTCCGTTCAAGCTACCACCAACTAATTTGAGTGCGCCATGAACTGATATACTGGTTTGCTCTTGAGTGCCCTGTGATGTCCTGGCTGCTGCGTGTACTAATCCCGGTGTGTTGTGCCTGAATCAAATCTGGGAGGTAACCTTAAGCGAGAAACTCTGGGATGGACTACTTTATCCTTTCATATGTTCAAAGTAAGTTTATCTTTATTCTCCAAGCTTTGCAACTGAGTCAGATCCTACTGACGTTCCTCTCTAAATTTTCACATAACCCAGACCACACATGCTAGGGAAATTCATTCACACAAACAAAAAGAAAATAAGTCTTCATAGAGAACCCACTAGGATATTTTGCAGCACGAGAAAGAGTGAAGTGATCTGGTTAATTTTACTGGATAGTCCCAAGCTGAGAGTGCTCTTCTACGCAAGCCTAAGCTTCTTAAGATTCGGACTCTCACGCCCATGCCATTCTGGTCTTCGAAAACATGGCATTCTGAATTAACTAAAACCGACCACTGTCAAGCAACCACGCGCGTTAAATAAAGTGATAAGATTTTAGCAACGGTTTATAACGAATTGTAAGTATTGTAGAATCTATTTTGAACGCTTAGTTTTTGGAAAATCCCTCCATATATGTATATTTGTGTTATGATATGACTGACTCTTTCTGTTGACATTTGGTACTCTATTTGATTCCATTTTTAGATTTTATCATTTTATATTGTTATTATTTCTATATCTTGTACTTATATTGAAGTTTTTATGTCTCCTTCTGAACTGTACACATGTTGTTTAAATTTGATATTTAATATGGCTACAGCCATTTTTGCTTTTGATACTCTAGTAGTAACGGACTGGAAGCAGTTATTCTTCCAGAAACGGAACCCATTGTTGTAATTGGAAAATCAAAAGTGTAATATTGTTTTGGTAATTGTCTGTATTTCCCTTTTTATCATTTAGTAGAACCGTTCTCTCCCAGAATGATCGTTTTTGGTTCCGGACTGGGTGAAACGCGTATGAATCTGCACTTTTTGAGCCGGAGCGAAATGCACGAGTAACAATTCCGTCACACGTATCCCGTGACACCCTCAATCAGCCAGTTGACACTACAGCTCAGTGGATGAGTCTACTTCAGCAGTCACGTGCGCATTACTACATCGAGAAAACAAACCCGGAAACCACTTGTAGTATGAATAACATCCAAGATAAAGTATCTACGGTCAAACTTGAGTAGTATAAATCCGAAACTCGAGAAAACTTCTTCCTCACTAAGTATGCACTGATATGGGATAGGCTTCTCTCAAAAATGCGCATTGTAAGTGGGTTACATGAGTTTGTACAACTTCTTAAGGAGGCTCCCAGTTGCACTGACTCATCTACACGCGTGAACTCACTCGCACCCTGCTTCCGTATTATTAGCATATTATTAGCTATGCACACACT